CTTCGACACAACTTTTAAATATTTTCACTTTAGTCCCCAAACTTTGAATCTTGCCATTTTCACCATTTTTCGCTTCTTTCTTTTATTTTCACTTCCATTCATTGAGTTTCACCTAATAACACATTATCTACAAATTAGGCTATATTAAAAGAACTACCAAATATCCATATTTTAGAGCTCAAATAGGAGTATAAAATACACTTTCAGCTAATGTTGAGCAGGCAGCGATATTGCTATTTTGTGCTCTCAAGAGTTAGCTAGGCGGCTAGCTAACGACTTTCCAACTATTTTTTCTGCTTGTTCCATCTTTGATCTCTTTGACCCCTTGTTGAACTATACTACCAACCCAATAACTCTTTGACTTGAATTACAACTCTATTACTTCAATTTTGTCCAAGGAATTGCCAATTACATTAATACCTAACATATTAATTCTTGATGCAAACAAGAACGTGGAAATTTATCGCAAATTCACCCATGTTTCAATTCCATCGTTCTCTTTGGTATTCAATTAATGGAGGACCTGAACCGCAAGAAGAGAAAAAGGAAGGTCCCTTGCCCGCACGCGACTAAGATGCTTCATCGCTTGGGCATTCGTCGAACTTTTCCTTGAATCACGTAATTTCACCCTTCTCTAAATTAAGCTCCAAAACTCTTCTTTTATGCTTTGTTCATCTCCAAATCGAGATTTCACCTATAAAAGCAATATATATCCTGAATTGAATAGAATTCTGCTCAAGGAATCAATATTACGCTAGTTTAAACGCCTAATAAGCCTGCAAAATACTTAGATAAGCGTATAAATTACCTTATCGTTTTCAAACCTAATATCAAATAGGACCAGACCCCGTTACGATGAGACGGGTTGATTTGTGAATCACACCAAATAAACAACAATACAGAAATGCATAAAATCAGATCTCTTCCTAGGTCTTCAAATAAACTATTATTCATAATGGTTTAATAAACGAGCCATATAGAAGTCGCCCACGAAGATTTGAGTAACAATATATTTATTCTCGATGCACGCATTGAAGGACGTGCAAATTTATTGAAACCGATACATTAAGATTTAAGAAATCAGCAGCAAACCATAAGACACAAGATGTTGCAGAAATGTTGAACTACAAAACATTTCCAACATATTTGACTTGCAAATGGGTGATGGTTTTTCCAAACTAAGTGGTTAACTTCATGATTTCCTCATCTCGTTCGAAATAAACCATGTCTTCCTCATGCAAATTCACCCATGCTTCAATTCCATCGTTCTCTTTGGTATTCAACAGTGTGACATGGTTTTTTATCGGAATATTTGCAGTGCTTGTCCAAATAGGTTTTCCAAAACCGAAATCAGCTTCATAAAAGCTGAACTTAGACCAATCAGTAAACCATATGCCGTTTATGCTACTATCAAGTGTTTTTTCACTTGTACTTACCATAAAATCGACCATGATCTTGTGTCCATCCTCACGATTAGAGAATATCTTGGTACAGTCGGAAACGGCTTTCTTCACAGAATCAGCCAGTAGAGTTACGAAGCGTTCGTAGTCCATGCTCTTGCTTTCATCTGCACTGTAATCCAGCGTTGCCAGCGACACTAAGTTTCCAATAGAATATTTGGACAGAGGTGGAATGGTTCTTTCTCGAATGTTAACTGCTTGCGCCATAATGAAAGGCCGAGGTTGCCCATGTTTTGCTCGATCAGACCGTAAAAGAGCCTCCATTAAAAAGGCAGTGACGACGAGCACCCTTGAGGCTGGACGTTCATTGTTTTTGAACAAATGGCTCACCCCGTCTCTTAGAGTTGCTATAGCCTTCTTATCAAACAAAATCTTTTTCGAGACATGTTTAGTATCCCTAGTTCTTTCGATACCAAAATCAAGGATACCTAAATTTTCAGCCGGAAAATATAATGGGAAATCAAAATTTGGGATAATAGGTTCACCTTTGTCTCCTAGGCTGGCCTTTGACCAAGCAGATAAGAACGTGCCAAGTGAACAAGCATCAATTAATCTATGTGAAATGCATGTTCCAATGGCCGTCCCACCACATTCAAACTTGGTTATTTGAACTGATAAAATGGGATCTGTCAATTGATCAGCTGCACCAACTTCGAGTGGAAGGAGATCATTTAGCTCACCACGTTCAGCTCCGGAACCTGTAATTTCAAGTAGATCACAGTCGACTTCAGCTTCTACGAATTCGGCACCTTGATCGCTACAATTGACTAAGTGATCCTCTTTGATGTATCTTCCAGCAAAAGGGTAAAACTGGGGCAAGATTTGGGCCAGTGAGTTTTCCAAGTGTCCGATATTGGGACTGGATGAATAGTAGAGAATGCCAATGACATACATAGTTGGATTAAGCTCATCCATGCTTGAAATCTTGTAGGTGCGCAGATTTTGAGGAGTTGGAGTGCCTGGTTTGATCAACTTCCTGCTCACAATCTTTACCTTCATGGTTATCTGCTATGTGCACTTGATCTAATACCAAATCACACGAAAAAGAAAACGGAAATTGTGTCAGATTATGAATTTCTGAAGCCAAATTCAAGAAATCAGTATACATGTAGAATGTGCATGGATTAATTACCTGGAAAACAATGGTAAGAAGACTGCAGTGACGAGTTAAGAGTACCTGGAAAAGAATTGAGGCTCTATTTATAGCCATAGGGAGATGAAAGTGGAATGAGTTTTTCAACAATACACAATTAATTGGGCAAAAATGCTACTCAGGCTTGTAAAAGGCCTGGCGGAGCTGAGCTCTCACGTGAGGTGGGTCTAATGCTGCTCCGCCAGGCCTAGCTAGCTATGTCAACGAGTCGAGCTGAGCCCAAGCAGAAAAATAAAAAGCTTGGGCTCGGCTCGAGCTTTTTTGGGGCCTTTTAGCGGGCTGAGTCGGCTCGGGGTTTTTTTTTTTTTT